CCATTTTTGATGTGGTTCGATGTTTTCTTCTTGTGGAGTTCAACCAGTACTTTGTATATCCTTGATATCAACCCTTTGTTGGATGTCTATTGGGTGAATATCCTTTCCCATTCTGTAGACTGTCTTTGTACTTTGGTTACTGTTTCTTTTGAGGTGCAGAAGCTTCTTAGTTTAAAGTAGTCCCATTTATCTATCTCTGTTTTCACTTGCTTGACCAGTGGCATGACATCTTTGAAGATACCATTCGCTTCGATGTCATGGAGGGTTTTGCCAACCTTGTCTTCAATGTACCTTATGCCATTCTGACAATACTTATGGATTCCCGTCTGATGTTGAGGTCTTTAATCCATTTTGATCTTACTTTTGTACATGGTGTTAGGCAGAGATCTGAGCCCACTGTTTTGCATGTAGCTGTCCAGTTTTGCCAGCACAATTTGTTAAAGAGGCTTTCCTTGCTCCACTTCACATTTCTTGCTCCCTTCTCAAAGATTAGATGATCATATGTTTGGGGGAAGCTGTCAGTATATTCAACTCTGTTCCACTGGTCTGCAGCCCTGCCTTTGTTCCAGTACCATGCTGTTTTAATTGTTACTGCTTTGTAGTAGAGTTTGAAGTTAAAGAGGTTGATTCCTTCCATTTTCTTTTTCCCAAGAATTGCTTTAGCTATTCTTCGGGGCTTATTGTTCCATACGAATTTCAGGAGTGTTTGCTCCATTTTTAGTTGAAAAATGTCATGAGTATCGTTATAGGGATCACACTGAATTTGTACAATGCTTTGGGAAGTATTGCCATTCTGACAATGTTAATTCTCCCGATCCATGAGCAGGGGATATCTTTCCATTTTCTCATGTCCTCTTTTATTTCATGAAGTAGCGTTTTGTAGTTTTCTTTGTACAGGTTCTTTACTTCCTTAGTTAAGCTGATTCCTAGGTACTTGATTTGCTGGGGCACAATTGTGAACGGGATTGTTTTTTTCATGTCACTTTCTTCTCTCTCACAATTTGCATATAGGAAAGCCATGGACTTTTGGGTATTGATTTTATAGCCTTCAACTTTACTATACAAGTCTATTGTTTCTAGGAGTTTCTTAGTAGAGGTTTTAGGATTCTCTAAGTATAGTATCATATCATCTGCGAATAGTGAGAGCTTGATTTCTTCCGTTCCTACCTGAATGCTCTTAATATCTTTTTCTTGCCTAACCGCCATTGCAGTACTATTTTGAAAAGCAGTGGAGAGTGTGGGCATCCTTGTCTCCTCCCTGATCTTAGGGGGAATGCTCTCAGTTTTTCCCCATTGAGGATGATGCTTGCTGTAGGCTTGTGGTAAATGGCTTTAACTATATTGAGGAAAGTCCCCTCTATCCCCATTTTGGAGAGGGTTTTCATCATAAATGCCAAGAATTACTCCTGGCAGTGCACAGGAGACTCTATGGGATGCTGGGAATCAAACCTGGGTCAGCTGCATGCACAGGCAGGAAATGCCCTACCAACTGTGCTATCACTCCAGCCCAAAACTATATTATTTGTAATATATTTGTTTGGATGATAGTTCTATGATTCACAACACTGTTCTTGGTGCTTTCGCGGACACATAATTCCAACACCACACATATCACCATTGATTTTCTATAGCATTAGTGTTGCGGGAAAGAATTTACAAGGGACTTGGCCCGACCTCCCAGCTCTGGGAGCTGCGGGGCCCAGAGTGAAGAGAGGGGTTACTCTTGGCAGGAAAAGAAAGGCAGGCCTAAGTCTGACCAGGAATGCTGCCTTCCCTCCCAGAAAAGAATTTCAGAAAGAGACAAATAGTGAAGTCAAAAAGTTTTAACTTAGAGTTAAAGGGGAGAGAGAAAGAGAGGAGAGAAGAGAGAGAGAGAAAGAGAGAGAGAGAGAAAGTGAATGAGAGAGAGATGCATTCAAGAGAGAACTTGGGCTTTTTTAGTCAGCCACCCTATATTACCCACCCCATCCCCCCCACACACACAGTATTGGGGGCACGATACTGGCCTTGCGGAATGATTGTATAGGTGTGGGATTTTCAAACCACCATGTGTGGGATTTTCACCCTAGATTTAAAAAATACCTTGGTATTGTTGTTTTGTTTTGTTTAATTTTCAGTTTGCTTGTTTTTGTTTTGGGACCACACCCCGTGGTACTCAGGATTTACTTCTGACTCTACACTCAGGAATCTTTCCTAGTGGGGCTCGGATGACCACTTGGGATCGGACTGGGGTCGGCCCTGTGCAAGGAAGGGCCCTCCCGCTGTGCTATAGCTTGGGCCCCAACATTTGAAACTTTCGATGGTCCTTCTTCATTTCCTATCACATTCTTCTGCTGTATCTTCTTTCCAAAAAGGGGTCCAGCCTTTACTGGACCTGGGCTGGTGCCAGTTAGAGTCTTATCAGGCCTTAGTTCCTGTGTCCACAAAGTGGGTCCAGCCATAATATGTTTTTCTACTTTAGAGTTGGAGAAAGAGTCACTTCTTCAAACCCCATCTTGGTTTCATTACTTCCCAAGAAGTCATTGCCCAGGGTTCCTGCTGACAATCTATCTACTACTTCATTTTGTTTCCACTTGGGGTGTGGAGGGGGCCATACTTGACAACAGAGTGCTCAAGAGTTATTTTTCATTCTGTGCTCAAGGATTGCTCCTGGTGATGCCCAGGGAGCCACACGAGGCGTGGGGGATGAACCTGGGATTGGGCCCACATAAGGCAAGAACCTTAAGCCCTGTTCTATCTCTCCAGCCTACATATGACTTCCTTGGTGCAAAAGTTACTTGAGGTCCTAGAAGTTCTGAAAAATCTTTGGGAGCTAGAGAGACAGTACATTCAGTAAGGTGATGGCCTTGAACACAATTGGGTTCCATCCCCAGGTCCTCTGACCCCTGCCACGAGTGCTCACTCCCCTCCCCCCCAATAAAAAAGAAAAAGAAACTTTTACCACTCCTCAACTACAGCCAAGAATAAAAATTACCCCAGATTTGGACTTTTTACAATGACCTATCAAAGTTACTTGAGGTCCTAGAAGAAAACAATCTATTTGACAGAGAAAACATATTTGGTCTTGTTTTTGTTTTGTTTTGTTTGGGAGGGTGTGCTCAGGGATCACTCCTGGCAGGAATCAGGGACCACATATGGTGCAGGGGATAGAACCAAGGTCAGCTGCGTGCAAAGCAAGAGTCCTGCCTTCTGTAATTCTCTCTGGCTCATGCTGTTCTTTTAGACATAAACAGTTCCACAGACTTCCAAGCCCAGATCATGTTTCCCTGAGACTCTGGAAAAATGCAGCAAACCAGCAACAAACCAACAGGAGCCTAGTGCCACCGATGAAAGCCCACTTTCCCTCTATCGCCGCCAACATCGGAAACTGCTGCTTCTTTGCAGTGATAGCTGAGTCTCGCCTCTCCTTAGAACCAGATAAGTGTATTGAGAGATGGGGGTGTGTGGCTTCATCGTAGAGCACATACCGGCATGGGTCCAATCCCCTGAGGTTGATACCAACCACAGCCTCCAATGCCTCAGACCCTTCCCCCAAATCACCAACTAAGCCCCAGTGCTTTCTCTCCTTTCTAATACTGACATACACCCCCCCACAGCTCCCAGTGGTGTGGCCAGAATATGTGGCCACCCCCAGCAGTCCTTCGTGGCAGCTCCCAACTTAGTGCTCAAGCACTGCGCCCGGCTATACTCCGGGACCATGAATACTGGGAAGCAAGCCTGCACCCCAACCTGTTTAGCTAATTCCCTGATACCGTGATTTATAGTACAAAATCGTATTCTTTATTTACCCTTATTCCTAGCACAGGGAACCCCAGCAAGGGCTTTTTCTAATTTATCTTTGCTTCTTTTGTTGTCTGATTGGTTTCCGTGGGGAGGGAGTTTGGGGCACACCAGCCATGCTCAAGGCTACTTCTGGCTCTGTACTCAGGGTCACCAGCAAGACAAGCACCTTCACCCAATACTATCTCTCCAGCCCTGGGAAGTTTTCTTGGTTCTGTGAAGGAAGCACTTTTGGGAAAGTCGCTAAATCACTCAGGTTGTGAAGGTCATTTGTCAAGGGAAACCAAAGTAAACAAAGGTTGCATCTTCCAGACCTCCCCGGATTTGCCCAGGGCTTGACCCAATAATTCACCAAGGGCCTATGTACTGAAGCTCCAGAACACTCAGACTGTCTGGTCTGAGAGAGCCTCTGAGCTGGGGGACGCGTGGAGACTTGAGAGGATGGGAAGTAGCTGAGCCAGAACAGGGCAGGGCTCAGACGGCTTCCCTTTCTAGGTTCTGCTGCAACCCTTCAGCTGACTCTTAACCCCTAATCTTCAAGACGCTTCTGCAGAGCCTGGACCCAGAGCATGGTACAGCGAGGAGGGTTGCCTTGCACGCGGCCAACCCCGGTTTGATTTCCAGCATCCATAGTGTCCCCTGAGCACCGCTGGGAGTAATTCTTGAGTGCGGAGCCAGGAAGAACCCCCGAGCTGGGCAGTTTTGACCAAAAAAGAAAAAAATACAAAAACAATATCCAAAGAACCCTTCCTAAGGAAGGAAGAACCATAGTAGGAAGGTTCTGGAGAGAGCATATTGGGTAGAGGGTTTCCCTTGCACGAGGCTGGCTGGAGCTAGAGCCCCATCATCCCACAGGTGTGCCCTAAGCCTTCCAGGAGCGACTTCTGAATGCAGAGTCAGGATTAAATCCTCTGACTGTGCTATCGTTCCGGCCCCATGTTTCTAAGAGTATAAATGATTGTTGAAAGAGTCTACGACAACCACGGTGAGCTTTGGGCAGCTGGGGCGCTGTGGACAGTCACAGAGAGTGTCACTGTTACTCCTGGTATCTATGAGCCCAAAGACACGGAAGAGTCCTTCCATCCTGTGTCTCCTCCTTTCAGGTCCATAATGTCACTATGGTTCCCGTAGGTGCAAGCAGGGGTGGGCTCAGCGACTGCACCCGTGGGAGGAAGGCTGGGTGGGTTTGCAGGCGCACACGCAACTCACAGACCTCCCACCTTGAACGCACGCTCCATACTGCGATACCGCAGACGGCCAGCAGGGGGCGGGACCACCACGGCAAAGGGGCCACACGCGCTCCAGACTGCAATACCGCAGACGGCCAGCAGAGGGTGGGCGCACCGCGGCAAAGAGACCACACAGGCTCCGAACTGCGATACCGCAGACGGCCAGCAGGGAATGGGTGAACCGCTGCGTAGGGGCCCGAGGCATCCAAACAGGCCTGTGGGGTCCCAGGCATCTTCCATCCGAGCGATGTCCATCGGGGTTAGAATCGATTTACTGCGGGGAGGGCGCTTGTCTTGCACGAGGCCTACCAGGATCCACCCCCCCCCCCCCCGCACCCTAAGGACGCCCCAAGGGGACTTGGGAGTGACCCTGAGCGCAGAGCCAGGGGTTGGACTCGAGATCCAGGGTGTGCACGTCAAACAAAATATTTTGAAAAAAAAAACAAGATGGGAGGAGTGGGCAAGCTAAATAGATAAAGGTGGGGGGCAGGGGTGTAACTGGGCGGCGGAGCACCGGCCTTGCAGGTCTGAGTCCACGGATTTGATTCCAAGCTCCTGGATCAGGCACCAGAGTCACCCACCCCGCCCCCGGAACTCACAGTTTTAACTGGGAGGAGGGCTGCGGGAGGCAGGCGGGGCAGGAGGCTGAGAGATGCAGGAGGAGCAGGAGCGCAGCCTTCCTCACAGGCCACAGAACCACGCCCCCAGCACCCCCAGAGTCGTGCCCTGAGCACTGCAGGTGGGAACAAAAGGAAAGAAACAGTGGGATACTGTGTATTCGACCCTGACTAGCCTCAGGCTCCCTTCTTATTTTATGTCACTGTCAATGTCTTCTCATTGTTCATCAATTTATCAATTTTCCTCAGTAACATTGTGAGACTTGTTACTGTATTTGGCATAACGAATACATCACAGGTAGCTTGCCAGGCTTTGCCATGCAGGTGACATACTCTAGGTAGCTTGCCAGGCTCTCCGAGAGGGGCGGAAGAATCAAACTCTAGTTGGCCGTGTAGGAAGCGTGCAGGGCAAACGCCCTACCCTCTGTGCTATGTATGTAACTTTTGCCTGTTTACTTTCTTGGTAAACTCTGCCCCAAGTTTTTGGGGTATGACCCAAGGCATGGCAGCAATTTGGGGGGACCTGGAAGTCTGAAGGCGCCATCAGGCTGCTGATGCACTCGCCTCACAGCTACAGACTGACCTGCTGGTGGCACCATACCCCCAACCCAGTGCTTCTTACAGTTTACTCTTGCCTCTGCACTTAGAGACTGCTCCTACCAGGGCACAGATGACTGGATGAGATTCCTGCGATTGAACCCAGATCAGCCACATGCAAGGTAAGAACCCTACTCACTGTACTACCTCTTTAGCCCAAGATAAACACTTTTAAGAAAATGGTATACAGGCACAGAGCAATAGTTCAGCTGGTAGGGCATGTGCTTTGGCCAATCTGGCTTCAATCTCTGACGTTCCGTATAGTCTGCCAAGCACTGTCAGGAGTGATTCCTGAGTGCAGAGCCATGAATAATCCCTAAGACATCACCAGGTGTGGCACAAACATAAAGAAACTAAAAGAAATTGGTGTATCAGAATTCCATTGTAGCAACTCTTTGACTTATTTGACTCTATAGTTCGTGATTGCTAGCCAAAAATCTTTTATAAATAAACCGGAGAATAATCAGTTATCACTGGCAAAAAGGAAATAATTTTATTCAAGTAGATATAGAACATTGTTTGCTCAAATTTTAATACTGCTTTACATAGTTTGTGAAACAATTTCAATCGTGTTTATTACTCAAAATGTCAATGGATTACGATCTTTCACTGGTGAGACACTTGATAATCTCCAGAGGAAAATACATCAAAAGCATATATACAATTATAGAAGTTCTTATAATACATGTAGCCCTGATGATACATTATTTATCACGTTTTACAGAACTAGAAAACATACAAATGAAGATAAATACATTCAGACTGGATGATCACCTTCTGATGGTTCAGGTCCTTCATTTAATTTTTTGTGATAAGAAAATCCAAAATTATTAATGTTGAATTTCTCATCATACATTCATCTAAAACCACAGTGGAAAAAAAGTAAACTTTGTAAAGACAGTAAATTGGTTATTTTAGGTGTTTCACAAGTACTTGCTATCTAATCCAGGAACTGCTGGAGATTTCTGCACAGTGCAGAGAATGAGGTGGCCGGGCCGAAGTTGTTGCTGTCGTAATTGTTGAGGTCGTCCCCGTTCCCTTTGAGAGCCCCCTCGGACATCATCTCCACTTTCATGTTGAGGTCCTGATTCTTTCTTTGGAGGTCCACAATCACGGAATTCAGGAAATCAATCTGTGTTCAAGGAGAGCGTGAGACGGTGAGCCATCTGCGGGAGCCATGGGAGCCCGCCACAGAGGAGGCTGGGCCCCGCTTCCAGTCCCCGCCCCAGGGTTGGAGGCAGCCAGAGCTCCCCTTTCCCTTCCTGAGCGCAAGCTCCCGGGTGCCCAGGGAAGACCCCAGGAGGAGATGCTGGTACCCCTTGGTTCCTCTAAGAGCAGGGAGACAAAGACAGACTCACTTCTTTCAAATGAATGGGGCAGGGGAAATCCCACTTTACAAAAGTAAGCATGACTGTAGGCACAAACATTCATGTTTCACTTGAAAACTGGCGGGCGCGTTGGGTCTGAGTGATAGCACAGCGGGAAAGGTGCTTGCCTCGCACGCAGCCAACCCAGGTTTGATCCCTGGCATCCTATTGGGGCCACCGGAGAGCAGCCAGGAGTGATTCATGAGTGCAGAGCCAGGAGGAAGCCTGGAGTATCGCCACGTGTGGCCCCCAAAGAAAGTGTAAATAAAACCAGAAAAACAGACTGATTCTTTTTCTCCCTCAGGGCAAGTTCTGATGGCCAGTCTCTGAGAGTGCCCAGGCCATCCCACACTACAGCCAAGAAACACAGATCTCTCTTCCTCCAGCTGAAACAAAACAAAACAAAACAAAACATGGAAATGTTCAGTTCCCAACAAGCCCATACAGGGTCCACCTGCACAGCCCACGTGCAAAGTTCACTTCAGCCCACTGTTAAGTGCAGAAGTGCAGGAAGTGAGGGTGTGCGGGAACTCCTCAGGGCACTGGGACCCAGATGGTCCCCTTCCTTGGAGAGGATTCAAACGATAAAGCGCTGCAGACCCGGGTGGGATGGAAGGGGGGTTGGGGAAGGAGAGACATCAAGGAGGCCCCAACGCTGACTCCTGCTGCAGGCCAGACCCGAGCCTGGTGATGGTAGGTGCGGGCACTGGACTGCAGCCAAGTGTGCAAACCCCGGAGGACCCCACCCAGCTGTCTCCCTCGACAGGAGCAAGAAGCAGGAAGGGGGCCCAGAGGACCAGACTCCCCCAGCTCTGGGCCTAGAGCATGCGCAATGAGGCTGGGACAGCCACATGCTAGTGGGCATTTCCATTTGCGACTGAACCTTCCTGGCAGGGAAGAAGCCCTCCAAAGTGGTGTTCAACTCTGGCAAAGTGAAGATTTGCCAATGTGATGGGAGCGCGAAGCCCAGGTTCTGGGAGAGCAGCAAGAGGAAGGGCATTGGAGGGCTCTGGCAAGGACATGACCCCTTGACTGAAGGGATGTGTCCTTGTCCATGGGGCCTCTCACTCCTTAAGCATCACCTCTTGTGCTGGGAGCGTGTGGGGGTGGGGTTCCGGCAGCATGTGCGAGGCCCCTGGTTCTCATGGGCGCCAGGGGAGCACAGCCCCTTCTTCCTCAGCTTCCCTCTTTTTGGCTTCTGTTATTTTAATGAACCAATTAATTTGGGGAGGGGGCTTTTTGGGTCACAATCCGGCGTTGCTCAGGAGTGACTCCAGGCTCTGCACCCAGGAAGTACTCCTGGCGGTGCTTCGGGGACCATATGGGATGCCGGGGATGGAACCTGGGTTGACCATGTGCAAGGCCAACACCCTACCTGCTATGCTATTGCTCCGGCATCATTCTCGGATATTTTAAATGGTAGATATTCCCCGACTCTTTTGAAGCATACACGCATATATACATATATACATGTCTGTGTATGTATACATGCTTATCTAGAACCTTTGTGGGTAGTCAGTTTGGTTTGTTTGGGGGCCACACCCGGTGGGGTAGGGACTAAACCCTAGCTCTGTGCTCAGGGATCACTCCTGGCTAGGGTGGAACAGCTCAGGCTGTCAGCAGTCACTCGAGCCCAGGAAAGTGTGGCTGTGAGGTCAGAGGGCACTGGCTCACCTAGCACTGCACTCAGGAATTACTCCTGGCGGTGCTCAGGGGACCATATGGGATGCTGGGGATTGAACCTGGGAATTCGGTGTGTAAGTCAAACGCCCTCCCCGCTGTGCTATCACTATGGCCCAGGATATGGTTTCTCTCAGGCCTGAGGCCGGGCCTACACAGCCCTGGTCACTACCATCACCCACCTTACTCTGCATCATCGCGTTGGTGTTCCTGGTGTCCTCCAGGGAGACCAGGGCCTGCAGGGACGCCTCCCGCTCGGCCAGCAGCTCGGTCTGCTGCGCCTCCAGCAGCGCCTGGTCTTTCAGCAGCCAGTGCAGCTGCCGCTGGAGCTTAGTGGCCTTCTGGCCCAGCAGCTCCTTCTCGGCGCCAAGGCTGTTCAGCTGCTCACGCAGGGCCGACTCCACGCGGGCGGCCTCCTCCTTCTCAGCCGTGAGCTCCTCGATCTCTTGCACCAGCGACTTCTGATCCCGAGCCAGCTCCTCGTAGGAGCACTGCAGCTTCTGGATGATGTTGTCCTTGTCCTTGGCCAGAGATAGGTTCTCCAGAACCAGCTTCTTGACATGCTCCTCCAGCTGGCCCCTCTCCTCCAGGCCCTTCTTGCACTCGGCCACCAGGCTGCTCTTGCTCATCTGCAGCTCCTCCACCAGGGCCTGCAGCCCCAGCTTGGCGACCTGCAGTGCGTCCTTCTCCGTGCCCACCCTCTGGAGCTCCTCCTGCACCGCCCTGCCCTCTTCCAGCACTTTCTCTTTCTCCGCCTCGAGGGCTTCTCGGTCCAGCCGCTCCTGCTGGCAGAGCTTCTCCGCGGCCCACCTGGCCTCGATGACCTTCTCCTTATCCAAGCGAATCGCTTGGTTCAACAGCCAGAGCTTCCTCTGCTCTTCCCGCAGCGAAGAGTTTTTGGCCTCCGCTTCTCTGAGTTTCAATTGAAACCACCCTCTCTCGGACTTCAGACAGAGCTTCTCCTTCACCAGCAATTCATTCTCTGACCTCAGAGCCCTGCGATCCTCTGACATCAGCTCCATCTCTTCTTTGGCCGAGCTTAATAAGCAAGTTAAGGACTGCAGAAACAAAAAGCGGGGAAGAATGGAAACAAGAATGAGATCAAGTGGGCACAAGCAAGCCAAGCACTTCATGTGGCCTAAATACCAGAAATGAAAATGGCAGAGTAGTCTTACCTCCACACGCATGTATACGCGCACGTGCACACACTCACACACACACACACACGCACACACACGCAGGATGGAGAGGCTCAAACACAGTTAGGTTCTTAGGGTCAACATAACTACCTGCCTATTTTGTGGATGGGGGCCCCACACCTGCTGGTGTTCGGGTCTCGCTCAGGGTTCTGTGCTCAGGGATCACTGCTGGCAGGGCCGGAGGACCATACGGGATGCTGGGGATCAACCCCGGGTTGGCCGAGTACAAGGCAGTACCCTACCCATTCTACTATCAGCCGATTTGATTTTTGAAATGCCGTCTGAAATGTTTCCTGACAGCTCCCTGGAAGGTGTAAGTACAGTTGGATCTTGACATTGGGGCATAAGATTTTTCCCCCCACTTCAATTCTTCTATTATAAAATCCATCACTCTGTCCTAGAAGGGATGCATTCAAAAACTAGTTTTCAATACAATTCAAAGAACTACAAAAAGTATTTTGTTTTGGAACTTTGTGCAGGAGGGGAAGGGAAAAGCAACCACTGCTTGTCAAACGATTTTCACAGGGACAAACAGAGGCAGGAAATGGACTTAGTCCCAAAAGTTATCCACTTTATAGAAAATCCAGACGAATCCACCAAGCTTTGGAGACTGAAGCCAACAGTTTTTGCTTGCCAAACACAGTAATAAGTCTCAAAATGGAGACATTAGTGGGCCCGCTCGAGCCAATCGATGAGCAAAGGGAGGGCAGTGTTTGCAGTCATTTGGGAGGGTCCGAGGGGCTCCAGGAGGACTGGCCGCACACGGGTCAGGGTCTCCCTCACCTGCTCTCCCTGCCTGGCAGCAACGGGTTGTGCGTTTTCAGTTCTGAGTCTCAATGCACACCACAGTTGAACCGCCATGTACTTTCCAGAACTTTTTGCAGCAAGGGCTATCTTCTCTGTCCAGCTCAGCAGTCATGAGCCGCAGCAGGCTACTGGCATGTGCTGGGAAGCTGACCGCTGACGGCCATGTTACCGGAATGGGACTGACCTGAGCATGCACACGACGCTGCTGGCCACAGAACTGGGCCGTGCACGTGGTCCAGAGAGGAGACGTAGCCCTGGCTGTGGTGCGTGGTTGAAAGAGGCCGGGCACCAACACACACACAGGCCACGGCCGCCACTCAGCAGCCCTGGTTTCCTCTGATGTAACCCCGCTTCCGTTTTCTTTCCATTGGCTTATAGATATGTATACACACATATACATACAAGCACATATATGTATACGCATACACATTAATATATAAACTATACATGATATAAAGCATGTAAAACTAAAAATGTATCCAAATACGTACATATGTATTCAAATGCACTTGTTATATGTATATAAAGATGGACACATAGGTACATGTTATGTATGTACACACATATATGTGTGTGTACATTCTTTTCCTTTTTGTTTTGGGGTTCACACCCGGAGAGGTCACGGCTTCCTCCTGGGTGCTTGGGGGACCATGGGGGATGCTGGGGATCCCCAGTGGGTCACGTGCACAGCAAGTGCCCTCTTGCTGCACTAGTTCCAGCCGCTCTATTTCTCTCCACTGAGCCTCAAACCTTAACATTTCTCTGATACACACTAAAAAATGCCTTTGAGCAATCAAGTGAAAACACGAAGGCCTGAACTTACTGAACAAGCTCAAAACAAAACGGAAAACCCAAGCTGGGGTCCCTGGGCTTCCGCATGCTCTGCCGGGCGCCCCGGGAGCAACCCCCTTCCTGCTCTCACAGCCGCCGCCAGGTGGGGGAAGTGTCTGCGGCTGCAGGCCGAGGCCCCCCAACAGAGCCCGACCCCGAGACGGCCGCCATCAGCCGCGGTGCTGCCCTGCGCCCACCCACCTTGGCCTTATCGGCTTGCGACTTCAGCTCGGCCACCTGTCGCAGCAGGCTCCCGTTCTCCGCCTCCGCTGCCTGCAGCTTCTCCTCCGCCTGCAGCAGCAGCTTCTGCAGGGCCTGCAGCGCCTCCTCGTACTGCCCCTGGCTCTCCACTCTGGCCTTGGTGTGCTCGGCCTGCAGAGCCTGGCACTGGCTGCGGCTCACGTCCATCTTCTCCTCCTGCGGGGAGCCAAGGGCCACCGTCAGCAGCCGGCCCCCTGCCCGCTCCCAGCACACACGCACACACACGAGCACACACACACACACACACACACAACGCAAACACACAAACATACACACCCGCACACACACGGCCCCTCTGCTCTGCTCACCAGCATGCACACAAAAAACACACATGCACACTCACACGCGCGCACACACACGGCCCCTCAGCTCGGCCGCTTTCGTTCAAGTTCTCCTGAAGACTACGAAGCGCTAGCCCCTTCCCCTGCAGCTCTTCGGCCAGGCTATCGGCCTACCAGAGTCACAAGGATGGAGTGAATGGACCAAGGAGACAAACAGGAATGGGAAGGGGAAAACAAAACAGAAAACACGTATGAGAAGCCCATGACCCAACACAACCCCGAAGAACAGAGGCGTGAGGTGAGTGTGATTGCCTGAAGCTCGTGAAGCCAAGGCCTTGGCGCCGGCAGTTCTGGTGATGACTGTCTAGTGGTTATTGAAACAGCCCAAACAGAGGCGTTTTCTAGACCTAACTTTGGAGTGACCAGAAAATAAGAAAGCCTTTGAGAAAGACTGACTTTCCAGGGGCGAGGAGACGGCACAAAGGACTGGAGTATACACCAGGCCCGAGTTGGAACTGCAGCACCAATGGGGGAAGTAAGCAAGGGAGGAGGGAGGCTAAGCATAGGAAAGAGGGAGGGAGGAAACAGGGAAGAAAGGGAAAGGGAGGGGAGGAAGGGAAGAAAAGGTTATCTTTTTTTTTTTCTCTTTTGTCCTTTTAGGTCACCCTAAGTGCTCAGGAATTTCTCCTTGGCAGTAACCCGGCCAGCTCACTGAGAGTATCTCGCCTGCACGGCAAAGCCTTCCAAGCTCCCCGTGACGTATTCGATATGACAAACACAGTAACAAGTGTCACAATGGAGACGCTACTGGGTCCGCTTGAGCTAATCGATAAACAACGGGAGGACAGTGACAATGACAGTGACCCTATGGGATGATGGAGATCGAACCCACGTGGGCCGCATGCAAGGCAAATGCCCTTCCCATTGTACTATCATTCCGGCCCCCAAGATTTACTTTCTTGTAGTTTCTTTTCTGTGACTTTAAAAGTTTGAGGGGTTTCAATATGAAATTTAAAATGAAGACCCTCTAATACACTAGACAGCAGTCACCAGAACTTGACGTTTGTTACATCTTGATGCGAACAAGTGGGTCAGCTATCCCCTGCTGTGTCCTAGGAATTGATTCCATTTGTTTCAGCCGGTGTTTCTGGAATGCCAGCCAAGGAGTCCTGAGCCCTGAGAGGAACTCCCGGGGGTCTCAGGGCCCTTCTGTTATGTCTGTCAGTCCTGTCTACAAAGCCCACAGCCCTTCCATCTTGGCCAACAGAGAAGTTTCTCCAACAAAGTGCCCAGCGTGGGGGGCGCTGGGGGTGAGGGAGCGTCCCTGACACGACAATCCTATAGGAGGAAAAGGGCATCTCTCGAGGGAACTTGGTGAGAACTGCAGCTTCCTCGGCTTGGCCCAGATCTCACTGTCTCGTCCTTCCCCAGTGTCAGGGCTACCATGAGAGTCCATGCCCGTGGCCAGCAGAGGGCCATGCGGGAAGGCGGACTTGGCCCAAGCACCCCTTAGAGGCTGAAAGGGATGAAATCTCTGCAGGGCTGGGTGGGGGCTTGTGCTGCAGGGAGGGAGGGGCTGGCAATGAGAAATACCAAGATGGGCCACGTTACCAGCCCTGAGGGAGCTCAGAGGCTCAGAGGCATCGAGCACCAGCTGGGAACTGAGGCGCCCCGGGGAGAGGAGGGCAAAGCCCGTCACACGAGCAGGTGGTCAGCAAGGTCAGGGAAAGAGCCTCGCGGCCTTACTCGAGTCCAAGTGTCTGGGCGAACTCGGCGAGTATGCAGCGGGCCCAAGGGGCGGGGGCAGAGTTTGCTCTGGGGGCTCCTATCTTGTTTTCTCACTGGCCTCGTGAAGAATTCTCTATTTCAGAAAGACCCCAGACGGGCCCGATTAGCCGGGGCCAAGGCTAGCACGGCATCCGGATGCTGGGAACCAATGACAGCCCCAGAATCGTGCCGACACCTTCTCAGTCCCCTCAGAGGGAACCGCACGGGACGTGACCGGGAGACCTGTCAGCACCAAGCCGGAACACGGCGGCGAGCAGACTGACACACAGCATGCAGGGAGCGAGCGTGGAAGTGGGCAAGGGCGCCCGAGTACCAACCTGCAGCTCTCGGCCCGCTTTGCATTCTCTAACTCCTGAATCTGCCGCTCAGCCACCTGGAGCTGCTGCCTGAGCTTCTCCATTCCCAATTGACCTTCGGAACTGGCCTTCCAGAGCCCATCGAGCTGCAAGAGCTTCTGCTGGGTGGCCTCCAGCTGTGCCGTGGCATTGGCCAGGGCCTGGGCTTGCTGACTACACACGGCCCGCAACCCGTCCAGGTGCTTTACCTTCGTCTCCGCCTCCTGCAGCTTGTTCAGGGCGTCCTCCATCTCCACCAGGTGCTGGTCCTCGATCTGCTCGAGCTTGGCCCGTGCGGCCTCCAGGCTGTTCTTCTGCTCCTGGGCTGTCCTGAACAGCCGCGACCTGAGCGTCTGCAGCTCGGAGGCGTGTGCTGCACGCTCAGCCGCCTGCTGGGCCTTCAGGCTCTCCACCTCCTGCTGGTACTCGAACTGTAGCCTCTCGATCTGCACCTTGAGCTCGGCCAGCTCGGCCGCCTCGGCGCCCACGCCCTGGCTCACGGATGCCTTCTGCTCGCCCATGGCCTGTTGGTGCGGGGCGATGGCCGTCTCCAGCTTGGACTTCCACAGGGCGATCACGTCCGCATTCTCCTTGTTGGCATGGTCCAGCTTGGTCCTCAGGCCCTCGTTCTCATTGGCAAGCTTCTCAGAGGCCGCCTGCAGGGCCTTTACCTCCTTCTGGTGGGAAAACAAAATTTCCATGAACTTAAAACAGGAAGGAAAAGAAGCAGAAATAGAAATTTTTCTTTTCCAAACTGACTCTTTGCTTCTTCTTGTTTTAAGGAAAAGCTTCCAAAAAATGGGGTTCTAAAGGATTTGATTTGTGCTGCTCGACTGAAAATCAAAGCTGAGGCAAAGGCATAGACCCGACTGTCAGAACGAGAGAAAAACGCTCATCAAGAGCAGCCTCCAGCCCCAAGGAGCAGAGATGTGTCAGCCGGGCCCTGCCAGGTGCATGACCCCAGGTATCCCTGTCTGATTCGGAGTCTCCAGCAGAAGTGGTCCCGGCGGGGTCGGCCAGGCCGCCCCGCATCCTTGCCTGCACCCTGCAAGCCTCCGGGACCTGCCCGGGCTTTACCTCCAGGTCGCCTTTGGTGATGGACTCCTCCTCGACTCGGAACTGGAGGTCCTCCACTTTCCTGTGGGGGAGAGAGAGACGTTGTGAGGGACGTCACTGCTGCCCCCCATGAGGGCCACCATCTTGTAGATGCGCCTGACCCAGCCCCCGGCTCCACACACAGGAGGGCTGAGAGAGTCGGGGAGGGCCAGAGCGAGAGTACAGCAGGCAGGGCGTTTGTCTTGCACGTGGCCGACCCGGGTTCAATTCCCAGCATACCACTATGGACCCCAGAGCAATGCCTGGAGTAATTCCTGAGTGCTGAGGCAGGAGTAACCCCTGAGCATCGCTGGGTTGACCCAAAAAGAAAAAAAAAGAAAGTCAGCGAGTCCCCTCAGCTTCGAACACTGGGTGGGACCCACAGGCTACAGGAGGAAGCTAGGCCGAGCAAACGCCAGGTGCAGTGTCATATCAACCCTTTCTGCCTCGCAGCTAACAGAGGTGGTTAAAAACTGACCCGCGGCGCATGCCAGTCCCTCGCAGCCAGCGCCTGTCCCCACATTGGGACAACAACTGAGCCCCTAAGGGAGAAGCAGCCAACGACTCGGGGGCAGGGGCGGGCGGAGGGGCTCCCAGGGGACGTGTCGAGTCGGCATGTGGAGCTGAGGAGCTGAGCCAGGCACTGGCAGTGCCCCTGGGCACCACACTGCCGGGAGCCCATCTGAAAAGGCAGTCTCGGCTAGCACCCCGTGTCCATCTGTCTGCAGCCAGGCCTGAGCCCCGCGTCCGCCTGTCTGCAGCCCGGCCTGAGCCCCGTGTCTGTCTGTCTGCAGCCTAGTCTGAGCCCTGTCTGTCTGCTGTCGTGCCCCATGGGTACTGTGGGTTTCCTCCCGACTGGGACTTAACCACAGGGATTCCCAGAGGGCCCAACTGGGTTAGGACAGTTCCTTGCCACCCAGCACAGGCCTCCTGAATACCAGGCCAGGTGGACACAGCAGGGAGGGACGGGGGTGGCTTGGCTCCACTGAGCTCCCCCCCGCAGCCCTCCCGGTGAGGCCGTGCTCAGACTGGGCACCCGTTGGTTTCTGGTTCTCACAGCCCTGGAAGGCCAGGAGTGCCCCACCCGAGGGAGCCCCCAGCTCCGGGCACGGCCTCACCTCTTCTCCTCCTCCAGCTGTTTCAGCAGCTCCACCTTCTCCCAGTCGGTTGCTTCCAACATGGCCCGCAGCTCGTCGTTCTTGGCCTCCAGCTCCAGAACGTGCTGTAGAAGCAACGGTGCGTGAGTGGCCTCGCCTGCCCCCGACAACCCTCTGTGGGCTGGCACCGCCACCTGTCACCGCGGCAAGCTGAACGCATCTCCCACCTAAGCTGCGGTGTTTCTGGAAGGTCAGAGGGGAACCACACCACAAAAGCACCGGCGCGGACAACTCGGCACTCCCTATACCCCCACGGAGCGAGTAGAAGGAGCATGCGATCAAACCACGTGCCGGACGCCACCGCAACGACGGCAGACAGGGACCCACCGCCTCACCCTGCACCGCCTGCACCAAGCTCACACCCAGCCTCTACCGCAGGCGTCTCTCGGCCCCGGCACTGCTATCTGCACAGACGTCACCTGGTCGTGCCCGCACCGGCCAGGGCCAACTCCTGCTCTATCTCCCCCACGTGGCTTGTGGCCATGGCCACCTCCGCCCGCTCCAGGTCCCGCTCAGCCAGCAGCTTCTCAATGTGCTGCGGCTTCTCCTTCAGCGCCTCCTGGAGGGCGGTGGTGCTGGAGATCTTGTGGGCATAGTGGAGGAAGTTTCTGGCAACTACAAAGGAAAAAGAGACATGAAGGGGATGGGGGCGGCTGACACGGGCATGCACGCGGTGATCCTCGGCAAAGCACATGGAGCAGTGCTGCATCCTTGCATATGGGCCAGCGACTCTTAGCAGAAACGTCTTGAAACCTTCCCGAAGATCCTTGGACGGGACCTGGGCTCCACTGACCTCGGGCCTCGTGGGAATCCAGAGACTCTTCTGCAGAGCAGGAGGCAGCCCCCTCCACAGCCCGCTCTGGCCTGAGCTTTCTTAAGGCTGCGCCCTTGGCTTGAGCGTGAGGCCGGGTCCAGCATCTTCAGCCTTGCAGGTCCGTCAGGGTCTCCCAGGGTAGCCTGTCCCTTCTCTCTTCCTCTTCCTTCCAGCTCACCTCGCTCTCCCGGGCACCCGCCCCATGCCTGAATAGCAGTAACCAGAGACTCTAGTCTCTGGGAATGGCCCCGTGCCCCCGAGGGTCACTGGGTGTGACCCTATAAAAGACCCCTGTGCCATCTGCCTTCGAAAATGGGGAATGAGAGGCTAGAATGATAAAGTTGCAGGAAAGGCGCTGGCCTTGCACGCCGCTGACCTGAGTTGGATAACAGGTACCCACCCCAGAGGGTCCCGAGCCCACCAGGAGTGACTCCTGAGTGCAGAGTCCGGAGTAAGTCCTGAATATTGCTGGGGCATGGCCAAAGTCCAGGGAAAAATAAGGAAAAAGTGGTGGGTGAGAATGTGTGAGGGCTCACGCCCAGCGAGCAGGACAGCAAGGGCAGCTCAGGGAAAGACCAAGCACAAAGGGAAGGAGAGAAGAGGCAAAGACAGTGAGGAGGGGAGGGGAGTGGGCTGAAGGGCTGCGGGGACCGGGGGTCCTGTCCGTTCTATCCTGGGCTCGTGGTCGCTCATGGTCGCTCTGCAGACCCAGATCCCTCTCTGCACAACGGCCCCTGCAGGAGGGGACAAGGCGGGACCTGATCTTCATTCTTCGGGCACACGGTGGCGGGGGCTGCGGCAAGGGTGGCCAGGACTTCCGCTCCTGCCCGGCCATCCCTGTTCTATCGCCCTGCTGCGGTCCAGCCGCAGGTTCTCTTGCTGCTTCCCCGTATCGTCTGAGCTGCTGCCAAACGCCTCCTGACCGACGGGCCCAACAGGGCCCAGTCTGTCCTCTGCTGCTTTGCCTGCTGGGAGCTCTCGAGCCACCTGGTATTGTCCGGAGAGCAGGATCATCCTTGCCTCTGCGTAAGGACCTGGCCGTGATTTCCCGATACACTTAAAGTATATCTGGTCCGATTAAATGCCCTCCCCAGGGCCAAAGAGTCTGTTGGGGGGGGTGGGGGAAGGTGCTTGCAGAGGTTCAAGATCCAGCACCATCAGGAGTGACCCCACCCCCCAAGCAGAGAGCCAGGAATAAGCCCTGAGCACCCCTGGGTGTGGCTCCAAAACAAAATAATAACTAAAATTTCTAGGAGCACACGAGCTCTCGGGCCAGCCATGTGCAGTGCTCCCGGGAACTGCAGTCAACTCGGATTTCAAGGGGTGGCTGGGAAGAGCTTGGCAGCCTTGGGGGTCTAACACCAAGACCCGGGCTCAACCCCCCTCCACCGGGAGCAGCCCCCAAGCACCACGCCTGGAGTCCCTGAGCACTGCCATGTGAATCCCAAAGAGCAAAAATAAAAACTAGGAGAGGCGGGCAGCGGTGTTCCCTGAGCCTCCTGACCTGAGCAGGAGGGGCAGGCCAGACGCATGTGCTTCCTGGGCCCGAGACAGCTCCCTGAGGAAACCAGCACAGGAGCGATGGGCTTCTTTCAGCCAACCATGGAGACGAGACTGTGAGGTTCAGGCGCCGGAGCAGGGAGAAAGCAGCACCCCTGGCATGGGGGGAGGCGCGCGCTGAGGGGCTGGGCAAGGTCGGGGCCACGAGCTGAACTCAGGATGCTGATGCCAAAGCCTCTGCCCGGCGCGTGTGTGTAAGGCCCCAGGCTCCATCCCAGCAAGGCCAGACCCTCTGTGGGAGCCTGGTACCTCAGAAGAGCAACTCAGCCAACAGATGAACCCGGGAGGCCTCCACAGGTCACGCACGGACCTGTGTGCATGTATGTATGTGTGCATGTATGTTCCAGTGGGCATGTCTACACGCACCTGTGTGCAAGGGCGCGTTGTGTTTATGCATGTATGTGCCTGTGTGTGTATACCCATAAGCCTGTGTATATACGGTATGCACTACGTGTACATGTATGAGTGACTGTGTGTATGAACGCTTGTGTGTGCACTTATGGAATTATGTTGTCGAGGTATACTTCCGTGAAGTCACACAGAATCTTTCTATATTCCTGTCATAGACGCTAACGGTGATGTTCAGTTTAGGAGTGAGCTCCACCCTGCATAAAGATATGCAAGGCAGGGGCCAAAGAGCTGGAGAGTGAAGCCCCAGTGCTGCCCAGGCTCAATCCCGGAGGCCCGCCAGGAATAATCCCGAGCACAGAGGTGAGAGAAAGCCCTGAGCTCTGCCAAGTGTGACCCCAAAAGAGAACAAAACAAGACAGCGGGGGGAGGCTGGAGATACGTCTCAGGCGTAGGGTTCTTGCTTGGAGGTGGGAGGCCCCGGCACAACCCCAGCACTTCAAACGGCCCCTTGAAGCACTGTAGGGTATGGCCCACAGTCAAGCAGAAAAACAAAACCAAGCAAGACAGGACTGGCCCCAGGCCTGTGCCCACGGCGCGTGGCCTCCTGGCTCCCGTTCCCGTGACATCTGTTTTGTATCTTCCGTTTCACACACACTCACTCCCTCCTCTTCCGTATCGAAGGTCAATGCACGGAGCAGAGGCGGCGGCAGGAAGCGCAGCCCCCAGCAAAGCCAGCCCCCCCGGGACACCCTCTCCATCGTGGTCCCGTTTCCCTGTGGACAATATCTCAGGATACCCTTGCATATTCGGACACACTTTAGTGTTTATGACTCAGATAGACGTGAGGGGAGAAGCCACGAGGCCCCAGCTTTGACTTGCGGCCCCGCAATGGTCAGAAGTCCAGGCCACTCTGCATGTCGACAGGGGTGCAGAGGGACAGGAGGGAGCAGGGAGAGACAGAGAGAGCAAAGAAGAAGACGAAGCGCCAAGCGTTCCCCAGAGTCTCTGGGCCCTGCTCTGACCCTCAGCGCCCCCTTCAGCTACCCCACTTCATCCCTAAGGCGGCCTGAGGCCAGAGAGGAGCCCTGAGCACCCCAGGAAAGGCCCATCCCTGCTCCTGTCACTGGTGGTGGCTGGGAAGCCACTCGCCTGCCACCCGGAGCTGCTCAGCCCACGTGCTCCTGCTCCGCCTCTCGCCCCTGGGGCTGTGGGAGTCTGTGGGGGCCCGAGCACCCCGCAGTGGTAGGGGGCTGCTTACTAGTCCCGTGACGCCAGATCTGCTGCTCTCGAATGAGGCCCCGGAGCTGACGGAGCTGAACGAGGAGGCCGAAGGGCTGCGCTTCAGGCTGGCAGGGGTGGTGGCCATCACACGCCTCACGGCGGCCACCTTGCCCTTGGCCGGCGTCGTGGACGGGAAGCCGATCTTGGTGACTTTGTGAATGGGAGCAAACAAGTCATACTTGGGCTGACACTGGAAGTACCTGCGGACAACGAGGAGGGGGGGACAAAAACACCTTCGGCAAGAGACCAAGAGACACAAGCGCCGACCCAGAAGTCCACTGAGTCCCACAGTCTCACTCCCCCAAAAACGAACACGCTCCCACAGCCCCACATGCCCACACACTCACATCCCGACAAACACACTCACACACACACCCCAACCAACACTCCCACATTTCCACAGCGCCACGCTCACACTCACTCCCCAACAAACTTCATACCCTCCACCAGCCCACACTCACAACCCAACAAACACACACACCCTAACCAACACTCCCACACATAAACACCACAACCAACACACACTTACACTCACACCCCAACCAACACTCCCACACTTCCACACTCTCACAGCCCAACAAACACACTCACCCCCAACCAACACTCCCATACTCTCACACTCCCACCCATCAAACACACACATTCACACCCCAACAGACACTCCTACATGTCCACAGCCCCTCACTCACACACACTCACTCCCCAGAAACACTCATACTCACACCCAAACAAACACACACTCACACTCACACCCCAGCCAACACTCCCACACACCCACAGCCCCACAGTCACACACACGCACACCCCAACCAACATTTGCACACTCTCAAACCAACACTGACACGCTCTTCACTCCCCCACAAACACGCTCACACCCCCACCAACACTCTCATGCCCACGCCCCCACCAACACTCAAAGCCCCACACTCACATGCTCACATACACACTCCCTCATACATTCACACCCACACTCTCTCCCACGCCGCCCACCCCCACCACGCAAACCAAGGGCAATTCCAAGCAGCCTCCCCGGCATCTGAAGGGCGACAGCAGGCCCGAGGGGTTCCTGTGGCCAGAGCACAGCTGCATGTGGGAGCCCTGGGCTGTCCCCACATCCCTGCAGGGTCCCCGAGTGCCACTGGAAGTGGCCCCGCCTAAGAACCAAGTGAAGTGGCCTGCAGTCCCCTCAGCGCCTCCCGGGCACCGTGCATGGCCCCAGGCTGTCTGGGGGGGCAGGGGGACCCACCTCGTTCCGGCCACGGCACCATCGTTCTTGCCCAGTGGCTTGTCCAGCTCTACGCCGCACCAATCCCCCTTGGCGAAGTCCGTCTCCCCGAGGAAGCGCACCACACCGGCCTCCATGCCTCCCACCTGCCGGAGGGATGAAGGGACATGGGTCAGGCACCCTGGACTGCGCACAGCGCCCCCACCCCCCGCAAACGAACATTCTGGCTTCAGAGTCGGGATTTCCTGAAGAAACCCCAAAGGTTAAGGTGCCATTTCCCCCCGCAACCCCTACAGGGTGAGCAGACGCTGCTGCTCAGTGTCCATGCAAGGCAGCGACATTCACACCCACTCGCTGTCATCGGTGGCCTGGCTGACCACACCCCCGCGAATCTCTGACCCAGGCCAGCCACCTGGTGTGGCGAGGGGGTCGCTGCCCCTTGGGTGTGGGAGCGGAGCACTGGCAACCCCACCGCTGGAGAACAATTAAGCCAGAAACCAGCAAAAGGAAAATGACTGTTCTCGTATCTTAGCAGAGTTCGATTTTCCAGTTCTCCTTCACTATGCTTTGGCTTGACGCTTGGCTCCCAGGACACAGAGCAAAACAATCACAGCACTGGACACTGACGGGAATGCTGACAAACAGGGCTGGAGCACCGGGGGAAGGGCACTGGCTTTGTGTGCGACCACCCTGTGACGCCCCAAGCAAAAACATCGAAAACCAGAGAAACAGAACCGATTTCCAACTTTGTTCATTGGTTTGTTTTTGAGTCACATTCAGAGTGCTCAGGGCTTACTCTTGGCTTGGTGCTCACGGATCACTCCGGGATGTGCTTGGGGGACTGTACATGGGACCAAGACTTAAACCCCGGGTCAGAGGCGTGCAAAGCATGACCCCTCCCCACGGCATGACCCCTCCACCCTGTTTTGGCTAAACTGGTAAAACTGGCAGCATCCCCGCACGCATCCATCACGCTGGAAACTGCAGGACCAGGAATCCCGGCTGTTCGTGCTTCCACCAAAACCACGAGTCTGGAGGAGCTGATGAACCAGACAGGCGAATGGACAGCCACCCGCAACCGCTGCCCTTGGCACTCACCAGCACCTGGTCCCCGAGCTTCAGCTCCCGCTCCCCTTTCTTGAGGGAGCCGGCCTCAGAGAGGTTGGAGATGGACTCGCTGGCCCTCCTGGTCAGGCTGCTGATGTGAGGGGTGGCCGGTGACTCCTTCGCGGGGGACTGGGGCACCTTCGCGGTGCTGGCAGGGGCCGGGGAGGCCGACAGGGGCGGTGTGGCCCAGGTGGCAGGCGCTGGCTGCCGGCAGTTGGTCTCATCGTCGGCCTGCAAGCTCCTACTCAGCTTGGACGGCCGGGTGAAGATGCCCTTCAGCGGCTCGCACTGGAAGTAGCGCACACCCGCCACCGAGCCGTCGTTCTTGCCGATGGGCTCGTCCAAGACGATCCCGGCCCACTGACCAGGGGCAAACTGGGTCTCTCCGAGGAACTGGATGAATCCAGGCTTGTTCCCGTTCACCCAGACTCGTTCCCCGACCTGGAAGTCGCCCACAAACTCCTCCTGCATCTCCGAGGAGGGGGCGCTGGGGGTTTTCTCCCCAGGCACGGTCTTCTCAACGGGAGTATCCGCTGGAACAGCAGAAAGGTCAGAAGGGTCAGACGGGACAGGAAGGGCCTGTGCAGGTCCAGTTAAAGTGTGGTTGGGGGAGAGGGACACCCAGCAGTGCTCGGGATACTCCCAGCCAATGACGGGGGCTGCTTGTGGTGAAGCCTGGCCAGGCCTGCCATGAAGGGGATGTGCTCACCAACCACAGCATCCCAGGCCGGAGTCATACTTTGGGCAGCTCAGGGGAAATCTTTGGACACACCCCGTGATGCTACGGACCAAGCCAGGTGAAAGCTGGAACCAAGTGTCTTATTTCTGCTGTGTCCACTGGCCCATTTGTTTTTCTTGGGGGGGGGGAGCACCCCAGCCAGTGCTCAGGGCCTATTTCTGGTTCTCCGTTCAGGGTTACTCATGGTGAGGTTGAGGGTGGAGAGTCACATGGGGTGCCAGTTGCCCTCCCCACTGTACTGTGGCTTTGGCCGGCAATGAGGCCCTCTAGTCCAGGTGAGTCCACCTCCCTAAGCCTGTCCCCAAGCCCGGGCAAGGGAGCTAGCAGTTAGAAGGGAGCGGGTTGGTCGCCTCAGCTGTCACCGGTTACCGTGACACTAAACTCACAGAATGTGACACTCGTGTGTGAGAGCTGTCCCCAGAGCCACGAACGTGTCTACAGCTCAGCAAGTCCTTCCCGGGCGAGGACTCGGGATGGGGTTCCCGGGTAGGAATGAGTCTCCCCTGGCCTGGGCTGAGCGCACTTACTGGCCGAGGGTGCCTTCACGGCCCAGCTCCCATGCTTGAGGATCTTGGTGGGAGCCTTCAGCCCGCTGGGCCTCAGCAGACTCATGGTCAGGCGGTCAGACGCTGCCGCGGCCACTACCAGGCCCCGACCATCTAGCCCACTGTGGGGCCTTCTGAGGCACACTCGTTCTCAGGACTAAATCTCTGAAGAGCAGAGGAGAGAGTCTGTCTCAGGTGAGCGACCACAGCAGCTTCCGGAGCCCAGAGAGCTGCCAGTCTGGCACTCGCCACCCCGAGTGCGACCCCCAGTATCCCGCACAGCCCCCTGAGCCCACCAAGTGTCATTCCTGCGCAAAAACTCAATCCAAAACAGACAAACAAACAACTGCCAATTCGGGGCCAGAGAGCAGAGGGGACAGGTACTTGCCCTGCTGGCAGCTGACCTTCACACCCTCCCTGGCATCACTCCCACCACCAAACACATTCAGGAGCCAGAAATCATCCCTGAGCACCGCGAGTGTCACTGACCACCTCCCCGTCCAGACACTGACTAGCCGGGAGGCGACTCAGCAGTGATGGCTGGTCTTGTGTGTGCGTGTGTGCGTATGTGTGTGTGTGAGAGGCCCGGGGTTACACGTAGAAGCTAAGGCAAGCAACAGGCACACTCTTTTCTATGGGCTGAGAACTGCCTGGGAAAAGGGCCCAGCAAGACTGCGCCAAACGGGGGCTGGAGAGCGATAGCACAGTGGGAAGGGCATTTGCCTTGCACGCAGCCGACCCAGGTTCGATTCCCAGCATCCCATATGGTCCTCTAAGCACTGCCAGGAGTGATTCCCGAGTGCAGACCCAAGAGTAAACCCTGTGCATCACCAGGTGTGACCCAAAAAGAAAAAAAAATTGTGCCAAAGGGGAGCGAAGGAGGTTTCGGCGTTTCCTTCGTTCCTTGTGATGCTGCCTAGGTTGGATAACCACAAGCCAGTATTAACTCCATTTCTTAACCCACAGAACTGAGGCAGACAGGTAGATGGGGGAAGCGTCCCCATGGCAATGGAACTCTGAGGAAGTCAACAAAACTTCATGGCCACCAAAAGACCATCTGAGGGCACGGGACCCAAAGTCTGGTCAAAATTAACCCACATTAGGAGGCCCAGAGCAGGCTGGACCCCCGAGGGAATAGGAACAAAGGCCAGGGAAGGAATTTCTAAGAGGACCATGGACCACTCAACTCTACCCCGTTGGCAACCACCCTAGCAACGGACTCTAGGTAGCTAGAAACTCCCACAAGAGGCAGCCTGGGGAAAACCCTAGATTAGCCACCTTGAACCAAGGGAGGGCGTTCATGTGTGCCCGAGCCCAGGTACTGCTCTTGCCTACGAGGTTGGTCGTGTCACGGGCTTCTCCCCTCCTGAGGTGTGGACTTTCGGACCGAATGCAACCTAGCAACATAACATGTTCAGTGGCTTTCTGCACCTCTGGAGAAGCCTCACTCTCTGTCAAGCGTGTTACTCCCTCCCTCCTTCCCCTTCCTAAAGGCCTCCAAATAAATTGTTTCTGCTTCATGCTCATCTCCTGAAATGCCTTTCTGTAAGAAGGACAAAGGCCCGGGGGCCTGAGGAGGTCGAGGATCGACTCCCTTTCCCTGAAAAGGACAACCCCTCACTCCGGGCCAAGACCCCAGGAAGGCCTAGTGGGCGTCATGGGGCTGGCGGGGCTCATTGCACTCAGCAGTGCCAGCGCTCCAGCCAGTCCCGGGGGAGTGATATCTTCTCCTGTGCTTCTCATCAGTCCCCCATGAGGGCCCACTGACTTCAGAGTCATTCCATATTTCAATAGAGAAGTCCACAAGGGGCAGAGAGGCAGGAGAGTGGGGAGGGCACTTGCCTTATATCCAGTTGTCCTGGGTTCGATCTCCGTCAGCACAGGGACGTTAGCCGGCCAGGGTCACCCCTGGGCACAGCCAGGTATGGCCACCCCACCCCACCCCACCCCCACCCCACCCCCAGCCCACCCAAAAAATATATATATATAACTAGTAAAAAAACTTAAACTAACTAAAGATTAAAAACTATCATACACTAAAGAACTGTTAGAGAAAAAAGCCGCCCGCACGTGGGCAGAAAGCCCAGAGACTCAGATTCACCTGTGTCACACTGTACTCGCAGCTTCAGTACTGAGCTCTGCCAAACAGGCTCGTGCCAGTCTCGTGGAGAGACTGAAAATGGCAGTTGGAGTCTAGAATGTTCTGAGGTAGAAGTAGAATTCAGCAAGGAGGAGGGCATCATGGGCCCTTCTTAAATGGGCAGGCGCCACCCTTCGTGACGCCAGTGTCTGGCTGAGGCTCCGGAGGGCTGCCCTGCAGATGTCAGCACTACGTGGCCAAGGAGCCTCTGGTCCCTGCGGGGCCCAGTTCTGGACCCCCGGGTGGTTTCAGAAAACTTTTGACAAATGTTTGTCAGTTACAGATCTCCAACTGAGGTCATTCAGCATCCCCCGAGTGGGACCTGGAGCCAGTGACCCTGCCCAGGGCCCTCCTCAGGAACCGGGCCAGGAAATCTGTGAGGGGGGGGCAGGCGGGGGGGGCAGGCGGGGGCGGGCAGAGCGACAGGGCAGAGGCCCTGAGCCTGACCCTGAGAGCCCTGCTCTCTGTGACCCCAGTGCTGTGAGCAACACCGGCCGCATCGTGTCCAGGGAGTGGCCC